AATTAAAACCCCTCTCACTAAAGTTTGGCCACGTTTGGACAACATTGCCCTAGAATTATTTTGCAAGATTAGTCACTACAGATGCATTCTTTGCTGATTCTTTTAGAGTATGTTACGGATCTATGTCACTTTAGTAGTAGGCTTTTTCATCTAGGCCAGTCAGCAGGCTGGCTGGGGAATTCTGGAAGTTGAAGTCCACTCATCTTAAAGTGGCCACGTTTGGACAACATTGCCCTAGAATTATTTTGCAAGATTAGTCACTACAGATGCATTCTTTGCTGATTCTTTTAGAGTATGTTACGGATCTATGTCACTTTAGTAGTAGGCTTTTTCATCTAGGCCAGTCAGCAGGCTGGCTGGGGAATTCTGGGAGTTGAAGTCCACTCATCTTAAAGTGGCCAAGTTTGGACAACACTGTTCTAGGGCAACTGCCATGCATTCAAGGAATTACTCTTCAATGTTCTCCATAGCCTTGCCACATACAATGATAACTTGCAGTGGAATGAGGAATCAATCAAGATGCACTTGAACATTCAGCTGATTTGGTTCACAATGAGCTGAAACTAATTTTTACATCAATGAGATATAATGGAAATTAGCCTAGTACTCTCAAATCTTTTATGTATCTAATTTTATGACTCCTTGGTGCTTCTCCCATTTACAAAGAAAAATCAGACCTTTCTAATCTGAAACATCACCTTCTAGTTATATGTTCTTTTATAATGAGGTCTCGTGAGAAAGAAAAGGGTATTGACAGAAGCTATTTATTTATAGGAATTTATTAAAGATATGTTTCCTTTTTCAGCTCTTGACCACACATTATTTAATGTGGCCTGCTTCACTTAATGGGAACTCCAACATGAAAAGGCATTCCACATGACAAATTCCCTGTTCAGTTACAACACCTACTTGTTCATATAACAGGATGTCATGGTCTACCACCACAAATAATATCTCAAATCTTCACAGAAAGATTTGAATGGATTTTATTTCCAATTAAAAGTCAAGATATTGAGTATAACCTACTCTGAACACAGCAAATAAGGTGATAATTTCCAAGATTATCACTTGCTCGAATGTACTATTTCTGGACGACTTGGTTTTCTGGAGAGGACAAAGGCATGGTTTCACATGTGCCTCAACATTCACACATAATTAGAAGCTCACCACCATCTGTGAATCTTAAATGGCCAACCTTATCCATGGTTGAAAACCAAATAGGATCACACTTGGATAATAATTATTTTCTTTGGAAAACCATGAGACAATTCCAGATCTTTAGGGTAAACCAAGAATTGGGGAGAGGGGGTAGAAATCCTGTAAGAAAGCAACAGCAAACCACTTCCATAACTGTTGCCAAGAAAATGCATGAGTATGTCCATGAAGTCACTAGGAGTTAAAGCTCAACTTGGGGGCATCTTTAGTACCATCTGCTGAGAGGTAGTCCTTTCCTATTCCCCAGATCCAGGTTTTCCATTCTGCCCCTCTAAAGGTAACATCTACTTTCAAAATAGGATAGGCAGAGGGGATAATCAGCAGAAAGGCAATTTCTAGCTCACTGGTTCTCAAACATTTTGGTCTCAGGACCCCTTTACATTCTTAAAAAATGGTTGAGGACCCCAAAGAGCTTTGGTTTATGTGGATTATATCTATCAATATTTCTGTGCTAGTAATTAAAACTGAGAAATTGTATTTATTTGACTTTGTGGACCCCTGAAAAGATCTTGGGGACCCCCAGGGATCCCCAGTCCACACTTTTGAGAACCACTATTCTAGATCGATCTTACAAGGACAAAAACAGAAATATCCTGTTGCAGGCGATGCATCTCACTGCAATATTGATAGTTTAAAATGCAAGCACAGTCTTGGAAAATGGCACTGATTTGTTTCTTCCTAGATATGAGAACTACACTAAAAGCCTCTAATGAATCTCAGATTAAATTACTTTACGCCAGCCTCTTTCCTCTTGCCATTTTATCCTACAGAATCAATTATTAACACAGAAGCCTTAGTACTATATTGATAGATACATTAATTAAATTATCTCTCCAATTCCCTTAGAACACTCCCAACACAGGTTTGAGCCACAGAAGTGATATAATTTGAAAAACACAGAAAATACATTTTTGGGGGAACGGAAAATGAAGTCAACTAATTTCTAAGGAATATATAATTTTCAAAGCCAGAAGTAATATATCATTTATTTATCACAATTGATTATATCCCACCTTTCAATAAAATCATCCCAACTAGTATAAGCAGTTATCAATAAAAATATAATAAATGCTACTGAAAAAAAAAAGTACATTTTCAGAACCCTACCCATAAGGCTGTTGGTGGTAACAGCCTTGGGGGAGGAAAGACTCCACATGAGCAGGGTTTTATAGGGTTGGTCCCTGCTTTCTTCCCTCCCTCTCTCTTCTGAGATCTTTCACACAAAGCAGTTAGTGATAATCTTCCTATTAAGAAAACTGTATTGATGAAATTGCCTTGCAGCCAATGGCCATTAATACTAAGTTACTGTACAGGTAGTCCTCACTTAATGACCATTTGTTTGGCAACCATTCAAAGCTACGACAGGACTAAAAAAGCTACTTGCGACCAGTCCTCACACTTACGACCATCGCAGCATCCCTGTGGTCATGTGATCGCAATCCAGGAGCTTGGCAACCAACTCGCATTTATGACTGTTGCAATGCCCCCATGGTCACATGATTGCGCTCTGGGAGCTTGGCAATCAGCTTGCGCTTACAATGGTTGCAGCATCCCAGGGTCACATGATAGCCATTTGTAAGCTTCCCAGATGGCTTCTGGCAAGCAAAATCAATGGGGAACCACATGATTTGCTTAATGATCATGTGATTCGCTTAATGACCACCACAAAAAATTGTAAAATCAGGTGCAGTCATGTGATGCCTTGCTTAATGACCGCTCCGCTTAATGATGAATTTTCCAGTCCCTATTGTGGTCGTTAAGCAAGGACTACCTGTAATGGTATGTAGGAAAGACCTTGGGAGACTGGGTGAAGAGGTGCTGCCTAGGGAACGGTCAGATAAGAAACAGTATAGCCCGCAGCTGGATAGCGGGCAGAGCAAGAGGCTCAGAAGGGACCCTCCCTAGTTTCTCAGACTGTAAAGGAGACGGTGGGAGAAATGTACTTTCAGACTTTCAAGATTCTGTTAATGTAGCTTTACAATAAAGTAGAATTAGCTTATCTGGTCATGTTTCCTGTCTGGTCTACCTGGTAAGGGTGACAGTTACACGTGCACTGCAAAGGTATCTTTTCAAGTTCACTGCAATATTTCTGTGCAGAAGCTCCCAAGATAAAAACCTGAAATGAATTAGGATGCTGTACTGTGTACAGGTAGTCCTCACCTAGTGGCTGCCTTGCACAACAGCCATTCACAGTTACAACTGTGATGAAAAAGTAATTTTGTGACCAATGCCCGCATTTACAACCTTCGCAGCATCTCTCTCTCAGTCATGTGTTACAGTTATGGTAATTGCCTGAATTGCTGGTCCCAATTACGGTCACTAAACGAGGAGTACCTGTATCATAATATGGCCATTACAGATAGTAGCTATCTGTAGTAGATATACTAGTATATATACATACACACACACACATTTATCCTAGAACCATTTTTTTTAAAAAAGCAATCATGCCAACAACTGTTAAAATTTGCAATACAACATAAGTAGTATTTTTTCACATCAAAGAGAAGTCTTATTCTAATTCCAAAAAATGTGAGTGGCGGACGACAGTGCTAAAGCATGGAAGTTATGCATAACACAGTGGAACATAGTACATAATGATAGGTTGCAGCTGCAAAACATATACTTACAAGGATATCTGCCATCTGCAGCCCACAGAGAAATAAAACATCTGTTATTACATTCAAAGCATTGCCTCTGTTTTTCTTATCTTTTTAAGAAGATAATGTCATTTTCTATACATTCATTTAATGTATTCAGCTTTTCTAATCCACATGATACTAGCATATATACACTGACTACATTTGCAGCATCTTATCTCACTTTCATCTGCCTCATTTACCCAGGGTCACTACTGGAAATTGATAAAGGATTTCTTGCTTAAACTGAGATTTAGCTTAAGAAACAACTGTTTATCCTTATCTATTATCTTTTGGCATTGCCATCAATCCTTTATGCAGCAGGGC